ATCTCTAGACTTATATATATATATATATATATACAGCACAAACAACATTTTCCAAAAGACCAAAAAAGTGAAAAAGTATATTTTAACAAAACGCATTTGACTAACAGGTCAAATTAGGATGAACGGATCATATAAACCTCGAACAACAAATGTTTCGATTCCTAACATCACTGAAGAGACATTAATTGTCGAAATCCGGATATGGTGTACAAAAATCTTTGCACCTTTGTTTGCGGTATACCATCTTTGCCGCAAGTTTATTGTTTTCTGTTTGGTATTAAACTTTTAATTAAGATCCATTCATTACACCTTGTGATCCGTTTATTTGGCAATCGCCAATGGCAGTCAGCAGGGTTTAAGAACATTTGTTGTTCGACCTGTTAGTCAAATGCGTTTTGTTAAAATATACTTTTTCACTTTTTTGGTCTTTTGGAAAATGTTGTTTGTGCTGTATTTAGACCCCTCTAACAAGAAATTTGTTTTTGCATGCACACGTATAAAAATTGCGGTTTTTATCCAACGCAATCATAGGTTTGAACGTTGTTTTCAATTTAGACTTGTTTATATTTTTTTCGTTTTGGCTTGTATTATATTTGCCTTCGGGTTTATATGATCCGTTTATTCTAATTTGACTCCTCAAAATTCGAGAGTCTATCCTAAATTGAGGTAAATTATATGGCCTTCCAAATACTGTTTCGATTCCTAACATCACTGAAGAGACATTAATTGTCGAAATCCGGATATGGTGTACAAAAATCGTTGCACCTTTGTTTGCGGTATACCATCTTTGCCGCAAGTTTATTGTTTTCTGTTTGGTATTAAATTTTTAATTAAGATCCATTTATTACACCTTGTGATCCGTTTATTTGGCAATCGCCAATGGCAGTCAGCAGGGTTTAAGAACATTTGTTGTTCGACCTGTTAGTCAAATGCGTTTTGTTAAAATATACTTTTTCACTTTTTTGGTCTTTTGGAAAATGTTGTTTGTGCTGTATTTAGACCCCTCTAACAAGAAATTTGTTTTTGCATGCACACGTATAAAAATTGCGGTTTTTATCCAACGCAATCATAGGTTTGAACGTTGTTTTCAATTTAGATGGATAAAAACCGCAATTTTTATACGTGTGCATGCAACACAAATTTCTTGGTAGAGGGGTCTAAATACAGCACAAACAACATTTTTCAAAAGATCAAATGAGTGAAAAGGTATATTTTAACAAAACGCATTTGACTAGCAGGTCGAACAACTGAACAACTGATATATATATATCCGAAACAATAAAACTTCAAGTTGAAATGAGGAATGCTTCAGTATTGACAACTATAATCTATATTATCCGTTTCATTCACGTTCACATGATTTCATTAGAGATGTATACGTTATTTTTGTGTTTGCTATATCTGTTTTTGTTTACATTAATGTTCATGGTTATGCTTTTATATTTTTTAGGTGAACAATATTCTTTTCATACATGTAACTTGAAACGACTTTATGTAAATAGCATTTGAAATATTCAGTTTATTGAAGGAGTGGTTTCTATTACCCAGTATAATTAAAAACAATACCATACCACTCCTTTGACACGTTAGAATATATTTCATTATTGTTTTAATTAAATCTATTTCAAAGAGGGAATAAAGGACAGAAATAATACAAAATGAGGAGGATATCCCATGATAATAAATTTGCTGAAGAAAAAGAAAAAATATAAATATAAATTTCTTAAAGCTTTATACTGCAAAATATCAATAATACCAGAAAAAATAATAATTCGAAAAACCATTAATGTTAGCAGTTTATTTTGATTCAGATACATTTTCTAGGACATTTGTTTTGTATTTTCATTTCAGACAAGACTTTCACATTAAGCAGACATGTATGGCTTCACAAAAAACATTATTCAGATTTCTGCATCCAGTTTTAAAAAGTATTATGTCCACAGTTACATGAAAAAAAATACGATTAGTGGCGCCATTGTCAATGATACAGACACCCACCAAAAAAAAACTCCAATAAACGGTAAATATGTGACGTAAAAAATAAATGCATGTCTGTAAATCGCAAGTTTTAAACATGTATGATCTGCATTCAAGGAAGAAGTCACAGAAAGACGCGTACTTTTCCATTCAGTATCTATATTGATCTTCCCGCGGAAAATAAACAGAGACCAATTGACATTCCCTCAACTTTTAATATATGATGTTGCTAGCACGGTTTTGTGATAAGCTTTTTTGAGTGATTGTTCGATTATAGTTGTTTGTATAACGCCCAGTGGCAAGTATTTCGTGTATATTCAAGACGAGAACAAATTAATCATACATCTAATAAGTACGTTCTGCAAAGAGGGTCAACTGGGTGACGGGCGAGAATTTCGATTGTCATTGGAGAATAAGGGTATTTTGGAATTAAGACCAATTATGTGGGGTCATCAGTTTAACTGTGCGGGATGTACAAAACGCAGTTAATCTGAGCGAAGCGTTAAGAGAATTCAGCAGAATTATCCGCATTTCTCAAGGTTCATTAAATGTTAAATCTTATACATATTGATATTTCTAAATATTTAAAAAAAATATTTGCACCTGTACTTTAAGCAGATAAAACATAAGGAGTTCATCATGTAAATTAATTAGTTGGACGTATTACGAGTTTACTGTCTTATAACTTTATGTTTTTTTTCTATATAAAGTCTGAAACATGACTGAAATTCTAGATACAATGATATACTATTTAATTGATTGATTGATTGGTGTTTCGTAACAACAAGTGACAAATCAAGTAAATCAATTTTATTCAGGAAGAGAACAAATTAACAATAAATACCAAGGGGAAGTTCTACAAAGTGGATCAACCGGGCTGTGAATGGTAATTTAGACTGTCATTGGAAAATGAAGGTATGATGAAAAGGTGCATTTAGGCTATCACCCTTCCCCCCTCCCAACCCCAAAGAGTTGTTGCAGAGATCATGACACTTTCCCTACACGGGCATCGGATTTAACGTCCAAATTCTAACCCGACATGCTTGCGTATTTGTACATTCCGCACAGCCAAACTGATGCACTTTATAAGCGTAGGTTTAACTGCCTTATGGGAGAAGTCCATGGATGACCATATTTCTTCCCCCCAGTCATCCATATTGGGTTTATAATAATGAATGAAACACAATCATTACATAATTATACTTGCCACATGCGTATCCATTTTTTGTTATCTTTATAGATGAAGAACAAATAATATTTGATCATGTTTATCCTTGTATCTCCTATCTCTTTAAGTTATTTTCCCGTCTATATAGTCAAATAGCCAAAACTTTGTTAGAGGTAGATTTGATTATGTCGTTAACATAATTCAATAACACACAAGAAGGATATGATCTAGAAAATGCGCAGTCATATAAGAATACTTCTCTCGTATTAAGAAAGAAATTCGAAAGAAAAACAATCCTTTATTGTGTATGTTTTTTTTTACATGTTTGCTATTTTATTTTATTAGATTTCCTTTGTAAGAGTAACTGTAACACCATCTCAATATAGAAGTTTTTAAGCAGTGTTTCTGCGGAATTTCAGGTTTTTTCCGTATTTTTTTTCTTGTACAGTGCAATCTGTCGAAGAGACCACCTAATTTAAAACACCCGAGGTAAGAGAACCATTTATCTAAAAAGAAGGAGATATGGATAAGCGTCGTCAATTAATAAAACAATTTAACCAAAGAGATCCCTAGAGTACCAATACCACTTTTAAGAAGGACCATAAGTAAGATTAAATCTACCTTATTTAACACCCTTATGCTTTTAGTGCTTGTGTTTTCACCAATCACTATAACACTTTACAGCAAAACTAACAATTTACATTTTTAAAATAAGTGAAGATGTTAAATGAATCAAAGCAAAATTAATCTTATAAATATATTTAAATATTTCCAAAATATTTTCAAATTAACTTTCATTTGCAAGAATAAAAACTAATAACAATTTACAAACTATGTAAAAAGTAAAATCACAAAAATACTGAACTCCGAGGAAAATTCAATCGGAAAGTCCCTAATCACATGGCAAAATCAAATGACAAAACACATCAAACGAATGGACAACAACTGTCATATTCCTGACTTGGTACAGGCATTTTCAAATGTAGAAAATGGTGGATTGAACCTGGTTTTATAGCGCTAAACCTCTCACTTGTACGACAGTCTTATCAAATTCCGTTATAGAATATAATTATAGAACTGCATTGTCCGTGGTATGCTATCTACTTTGTTTTTTATTAACCTTTCCATTTTTTCTTAAAAGATACTGCAGTCCTTAGAAAACAAGGACCCTTTCCAATAGTGTTTACAGTAAAAAAAAGAAATCCCAAATGAAAAGATGCAAATAACAACGTGTTAGAACCGGTATTTATGTTGTTGGTATTTTAATGAAGAACTTTCATCATCAACCTTTACATGGGTTTTACAGACTGACACATGCAGGATTGGTTGATCGTCATTCAGACAAAAATTCGGATACACACTGATTTTCATCGCCTGATTAATTTACACACAAAAAAAACCCCATCTTTTCTCTATGTGCATTGCCTTCGTACATATATATTTATCTCTGAGATCGTCTCCTAGAATTTGTTTTATTAAAATGTTTCAGTAGTGTTTTTATTTAAGGACTTTTATGTATTGTACGGTACAAACTGGTTATTTTTATCTTTATGAACCGCAGAATGCGTTTTGTTTGTGTTTTTGTTTTTGTACTATTGTTTTTTTTGTAAAAGTAAAATGAATAATACACAAATTTAATAATAGTACAGCTGTTTGCAGTTGTTGCACAGTGTTTAAGCGGAATCAGATTATTTTTATAATTTGTTTTTCCTTCATCATTGAAATCTGCTTGAGGGACAACTTATGATGAAAGGTCATTTGAGTTAGGAGACCAGCTGATAGCAAATTCACTACTAAATAAGGTTATTTTTCTCAACTCCCTGAGTGGTTTTATGAAATAAAAAATAATCAAACACCAGAAGCCACACTTATAGTTTATTATTATTATACATAACTCAGTATATGATAATTTGATATAAAATAAAAAGTCAAGGAAATTTCCTTAAAAGGGATTAATTCTTTTTATACACTAATTATAAGTTAACAAAAATAATACCAGCTGCTATTCAATATAAAAACCTACGTAAAACTATAAAGCTGGAAAAAGATCGCTTGGTAGAATTCATCAAAATGATTAGATTGATTTCTTTTCTAACTCTAATAAATATGTCTTGTAAAGCCATATGAAGTCTATATATATATATTGTTTTTTTTAATACAAACAAGAAAGATAGCGGTACAGTCATGGCAAAAACAGATATTAAAGACAACTATTACACCGGAAAATGTTTTGATCGCGGAAATAGTTGACTAAAGTTTTCTACCATTGAGTTATATTTTTGTGCCATTGAGTAAGCTGTTCTGTGGAGTACAACATCACTATATTTACTGACGCTATATTACCATTACCTCTTGTAATCAATGGACGTATAACTTAGCCGTATTCGAAATTCAACATCAGTGCACTTAATTGGCAGCATTTATTATAAGTAACATATCACACAAATAGCATAGTTATACTATTAATAACACTTGTACAGCTTCTAAATGTTAATATGTAATGTGACACTGAAAAAGGAGGATACATTCAGGAATTAATAGACTGTATCATCGGACCAACTGTATTTTGTTTCACTGCAAGTATTTTATAAAATGCGATGCGATATCTCGAATGAAGAAGTGGATACAAAATTGGATTAATAGTCGAATTCAACCAGAGAATCCAAAAAGTAAACTCGAACAATTTAGAGTTAATACAATCCCTTCCACAGATGGTACTTGTTGTAGCTAGAACCTCGTATGGCATCCAACAGATTGCAAACATAAACACAAAAATAAAGAGAGATCTAGCCGCCTTTCTGTCACGTTGTAAGGCAATTTTCTGGTGGTTATTGTCAGACTTACCGGTAGTTACAATCATTTCCTGTTCATCCAATACAATTCTAGATGGTCCCGTCTCAGAGGAAGATGGTGCTGGACGTGGCGTCGATATTTGTCGAGAATTTTGTATTGATGGCCAAAATTTCTTACTTCTTCGTCGAATACTCAAGTATACAAGCAAATTGAAGGTAGAAACTGTAACAAATGGAAATACAAATTCGATGCATGCACCAATCGAAAGGACGGTCACATTATTGTTGTATGGCAAAAAACATTCTCCATCCGGTATAACGCGCCCTTTTGTCACCTCCCAGAGGCAAATGGCTGGAACAAAGTACAACGTGGGTATAACCCATGGGATAAGAATAAATATAACTAGTAAAGTCGTGGTTTGATTATTCCTTGCCCAAAGCGGATATGCAACTTGTATATAACGGTCCAAACTTATGATGAATATATTTATAGCCGAAGCCGCCGGTGTAATATAATCAATCACAAGCCAAATGAGGCACATTCCATGTCCCAAAGACCACCTACCAGTCAACACGTACGGTGCGTAAAAAGGAATACATATAGCTCCTATGATCAAGTCAGATATTGCTAAGTTTAGGATCAAATAATCACTGAAGGTTCGTAGATTCTTTACTTTAATGAAAGCCAATAAAACAATAAAATTACCAAAAATTGTAAGTATGATACATATCGCAATCAAACTTCCAATAATAGCGGTAACCGGAACGGAAAACACTAAAGAATCTGAATTGCTCATCGCTCTTTTTGTTACTGATTCAAACGAAATTGATGAATGTGTTGGTTTACAGTTATCATGTACATTTTGTCCTTCAGAAATGTTATTTCATATCAACATTTGTTCGCGCACTTGTTGCTAAGTTCAACAACACAAATTCCCACAGTCTTTACATATTTCATTTTACTTGACACAAAAGGAAATATACTACAGTTTCAGACAATGGAAATCCATTTACTGGTTAGTTCTTGAAATTTCCCAATATCCATCCAACATATATACAATTCATCAATTCCAAGTCAATTAATGTTGGTTTTTATTTAAATTGCTGACACAGAAAGCACCTACATGGAACCTACGGCCTGTAATCTTTGATAAGTTTTAATGTAAAGCTATCCTCATACGCTCCATTAGACAGTAAAGAAAAAAAATATGAATTAATATCCAACATGTAAAAACCTGCAACCCGGACCGATTATAATTATTTCAGTCTTGGTTAGATGAATAATTAAATCTGTAAACAAACTAATCAGTTTGAAACTTCCAAATGTCAAATCAATTTCTTTTTCTTGATTTAAGGTTTGACGTCAAATTTAAAGGATGCAAACAGAAGGAGGAGCAATCTCCACGCTGTAGATGTCACGTGAAGCTGATGGCTGTAGATGTCACGTGAAGCTGATGGCTGTCGCCTATATAGACCTGATTGGTTTCTCATCGCTGTTTGGTTTAATAAATGTATTACGTAAGCATTCATTTAATGACGTTTACTAAATTAAGGGAAGCAAAATTTTCAAATAATTGGAATGAATTAGCACGTATTAATAGCGGTCTGTTATATACAATTCTGTGAGACATTTATCATCTCCGATTTTACCTTTACATGGTATTTAAGTTACCACTAAAATATTAATAACTTTTAATTAAGCGACTATATAATCCAATTAAAACAATCAATTCATCTAAAATTAACTAATTCAAAACTGTTAACCGAAACATTGTTTATTTGAATAATGAACTCAATATTAATCAAGTTTTGTAATTGTGTATTTCTTTGTTGGAAACAATTTAAAAATCTATATTCCGGTGGTTAGCAGTTTTATTTTTATGAGAGAAAATAAATCTGATATAAATATTCAAAGACTGTTATTTGGGTGACTAACAGCAAGCCTACAAACACGATGCCTTTTAACGTCGTCGATAAACACAGATAATGTGAAATTTATGCACTTTTATTGTTAAATTCGAACAAGACTGCCAATATTGAAAACTGTAATACGATGGAATTTAGAATACTAGAGAGGGTGTGTGGTAGAGTTGGGGAGGGGACATGATTTCGGTTAGTTCTCTCAAATCAGCGAAAAAAGGGATGCCGAGTCTAACAAAGAGGGTCGAAATCAGAAAATAAAAACATACTCGAATTGAATATGAAATTGTCACATTGATATACTTTAAAGAATTCAAAAACCATTATATGAATACAATCGAAATGTTATTCATAGCTAAACATTGGTGTTGAAAACAATCTTAAACTACATGTACATGTATAAGGCAACAGTTTGCATGAAAGGTCATCCGAAAATAAAATGAGTTAGTTTGTATCTGAGAGGTATTCATAATTTCACAACAAGTTTTTGTTTGGGATTGGATATTTTTTTGTTTTGATAAATGGCTCGAAAGCTTTGATAGATATTGGTAAATATTTAAGGAAGACATGAATATGAAAGGCATTCAAACCAAAACAAATATTTACATATGTATTATCTTTCAAATACAAGTTAAATCATTGTCATTTTGACTTTCTTTCTTTTTTATTTTATTTTAGATTTTGTGAAACTTTGGCAGTTTTTTAAATGAACGACCATTTCATTTTTATCGTTTTGGCAAGCTTCTCGTTTACTTTAAGAAACCCTTTCAAGCACTGTATCTTCATACTGTTAAAATATGGTTTATGTGGAACTCGATTCTGATCAATTATTTTTACAAGAGTTGTGTTTCTTAAAAATGTAAATTCTATAGGAAATTGCATTGTAAGCGCTCCCACGTGTACAATTCTTGCAAGATATCTTGGAAATTGATATCAATTGTCTCGTACAAGTTCGAAAATTAATGCGTGTCAACTATTTTAAAAGAGTTGTGTCCCTTGGACATGTTAATCATATAGAAAATTGCATTGTAAGCCCTCGCACACGTACATTAATTGCTTGTTAGATTGTTATGAAATGTATATCAAAGGTTTATATAAGGTCTTGGAAGAGTGCCGACCAACTATTTTTTATGGGAGTTTTGATCCTTGGAAATATAAATATGTAGAAAAATAACATTGTTAGCGATTTCATGCCTTCATTTCTTGTAAGAATTTATAAAAAGTTTAAAAGAAAGAAAAACAGTTTTGGTAGTTATTGCCCTGGACAGACAAAATATATGCAACGCACCTGGTCATTGAAACTCTGTTCTTTTTTTTAATAGATAGACAACTAAACGTAAATAAAATAAGAGAACTTATATACGTGATGTTCCTTTTGAAAAGTCAAAGATCATCATAAATATATTATAAACTATGATATTCCTGACATGAAAGTGGCGGAGACAACCAGGTATTACGGCGCTCCTTACTAAGATACATCTGACATAAAACTGGCGGAGACAACCAGCTATTACGGCAACCCTTACTAAGATACAAGTATTACGGCGCTCCTTACTAAGAAACATCTGACATGAAAGTGTCGGAGACAACTAGGTATTACGGCGCTCCTTACTAAGATACATCTGACATGAAAGTGTCGGAAACAACCAGGTATTACGGCGCTCCTTACTAAGATACATCTGACATGAAAGTGTCGGAGACAACCAGGTATTACGGCGCTCCTTACTAAGATACATCTGACATGAAAGTAGCGGAGACAACCAGGTATTACGGCAATCCTTACTAAGATACATCTTACATGAAAGTGGCAGAAACAACCAAGTATAACGGCGGTACTTACTAAGATACATCTGACATAAAACTGGCGGAGACAACCAGCTATTACGGCAACCCTTACTAAGATACAAGTATTACGGCGCTCCTTACTAAGAAACATCTGACATGAAAGTGTCGGAGACAACTAGGTATTACGGCGCTCCTTACTAAGATACATCTGACATGAAAGTGTCGGAAACAACCAGGTATTACGGCGCTCCTTACTAAGATACATCTGACATGAAAGTGTCGGAGACAACCAGGTATTACGGCGCTCCTTACTAAGATACATCTGACATGAAAGTAGCGGAGACAACCAGGTATTAAGGCAATCCTTACTAAGATACATCTTACATGAAAGTGGCAGAAACAACCAAGTATAACGGCGGTACTTACTAAGATACATCTGACATGAAAGTGGCGGAGACAACCAGGTATTACGGCGCTCCTTACTAAGATACATCTGACATGAAAGTGGCGTAGACAACCAGGTATTATGGCAATCCTTACTAAGATACATCTGACATGAAAGTGGTAGAGACAACCAGGTACTACGGCAATCCTTACTTAGATACATCTGACATGAAAGTGGCATAGACAACCAGGTATTACGGCAATCCTTACTAAGATACATCTGACATGAAAGTGGCAGAGACAACCAAGTATTACGGCGCTCCTTACTAAGATACATCTGACATAAAAGTGTCGGAGACAACCAGGTATTACGGCGCTCCTTACTAAGATACATCTGACATGAAAGTATCGGAAACAACCAGGTATTACGGATATCATTACTAAGATGCATCTGACATGAAAGTGGCGGAAACAACCAAGTATTACGGCGGAACTTACTAAGATAAATCTGACATGAAAGTGGCGGAGACAATCAGGTATAACGACGCTCCTTACTAAGATACATCTGACATGAAAGTGGCGGAGACAACTAGGTATTACGGCGCTACTTACTAAGATACATCTGACATGAAAGTGGCGTAGACAACTAGGTATTATGGCAATCCTTACTAAGATACATCTGACATGAAAGTGGTAGAGACAACCAGGTACTACGGCAATCCTTACTTAGATACATCTGACATGAATGTGGTAGAGACAACCAGGTATTACGGCAATCCTTACTAAGATACATCTGATATGAATGTGGCAGAGACAACCAGGCATTACGGCAATCCTTACTAAGATACATCTGACATGAAAGTGGCAGAGACAACCAAGTATTACGGCGCTCCTAACTTAGATATATCTGACATGAAAGTGGCGGAGACAACCAGGTATTACGGAAATCCTTACTAAGATACATCTGACATGAAAGTGTGGGAAACAACCAGGTATTACGGCGCTCCTTACTAAGATACATCTGACATGAAAGTGGCGGAGACAACCAGGTATTACGGTGCTCCTTACTAAGATACATCTGACATGAAAGTGGCGGAGACAACCAGGTATTACGGCGCTCCTTACTAAGATACATCTGACATGAAAGTGTCGGAAACAACCAGGTATTACGGCGCTCCTTACTAAGATACATCTGACATGAAAGTGTCGGAGACAACCAGGTATTACGGCGCTCCTTACTAAGATACATCTGACATGAAAGTAGCGGAGACAACCAGGTATTACGGCAATCCTTACTAAGATACATCTGACATGAAAGTGGCGGAAACAACCAAGCATAACGGCGGTACTTACTAAGATACATCTGACATGAAAGTGGCGGAGACAACCAGGTATTACGGGGCTCCTTACTAAGATACATCTGACATGAAAGTGGTAGAGACAATCAGGTACTACGGCAATCCTTACTAAGATACATCTGACATGAATGTGGCAGAGACAACCAGGTATTACGGCAATCCTTACTAAGATACATCTGACATGAAAGTGGCAGAGACAACCAAGTATTATGGCGCTCCTAACTAAGATATATCTGACATGAAAGTGGCGGAGACAACCAGGTATTACGGCGCTCCTAACTAAGATATATCTGACATGAAAGTGGCGGAGACAACCAGGTATTACGGAAATCCTTACTATGATACATCTGACATGAAAGTGGCAGAGACAACCAAGTATTACGGCGCTCCTTACTAAGATACATCTGACATGAAAGTGGCGGAGACAACCAGGTATTACGGCGCTCCTTACTAAGATACATCTGACATGAAAGTGGCGGAGACAACCAGGTATTACGGCGCTACTTACTAAGATACATCTTACATGAAAGTGGCGGAGACAACCAGGTATTACGGCAATCCCTACTAAGATACATCTGACATGAAAGTAGTGAAGACAACCAGGTATTACGGAAATCCTTACTAAGATACATCTGGCAAGAAAGTGGAAGAGACAACCAAGTATTACGGCGCTCCTTACTAAGATATATCTGACATGAAAGTGGCGGAGACAACCAGGTATTACGGTAAACCTTACTAAGATACATCTGACATAAAAGTGGCGGAGACAAGCAGGTATTACGGCACTTCTTACAAACCACTCGTATAGCAGTCATTTCCAATGCACAAAAAGCACATAAAAAGTATTGAACTGTATTTAACCTTCTTAAAAGTAATGTGCCAGTAAAATCCTTCCTATGAAAGTTAAGTGTAAGAATTTGAAGGACAAAGCATCCACATTTTTCCAGAT